AAAAAAAAGTTGAAAGAAAACACTTAAGAAGAGATAAGCCAGCGAGGCATTGTGCAAAGTGTAAGGCCGTGAAGGAGAGAGGCAGAGGCAACAGTGTACAGGGCCAAGGAAGGTGTGGAGACACAAACTGGGCGTTTGGAGTCCCAAGCTAAGAAGTCATCCAAGGAATGGCTGCCCTCAGAGCAGAGCGCAGGGTCCATGAGGCAGGAGAGAACATGCTAGAGCTGAATAAGGTGGAGGAGCAAATCTATTTGCTCTACAAAGAGCCGGGGCCAGCTCAGGGAAGAGGTTCCAGAGAGAGTTTGAAACCACAGGACAGGTGAGGCAGGACGAGCACAAGACGAGACAGGAAGCTGAGGTGAGTGAGGCCTCAGGGAGAAGTGGGGAGCTGGAAGGGCCAGGAGCACACCTCTGTACCCGCATGCAATCCCAGGAAGGTTCCAGAGCCCCAGGCCCCTGGATTCTCCTTTGTTGTTAAACCTTTTATTGACAGATAAACATAGATGAATAAGCGGTATGCAGCTCAAGCGGTCATGAAACGGACGCTCTGTGCAGCCGGAGCCCCATTCTCCACATGGGAACCCATCCCTCTCCTAGCTCTATAGCAATACATTAGACTCATCCATACTTTGGAAGTATACATACATGAAATAAAACACCTTACATGCGTATGCATTTGGCTTCTTCATCCCAGTATCACGTATTCCAGTTCTGTCCACGTGTGCATGCATAGCTTTAGTCCACTCCTTCTCTTCACTGTTTAGTATTCCACTCTGTGATGAATAAAAGCTTATATATTCCTTATTTTTAAAAAATATTTATTTTTTATTGGAAAGGCAGATCTACAGAAAGGAGAGACAGGGAGAAAGATCTTTCATCTGGTCATTCACTCCCCTAGTGGCCAAAATGGCCAGAATTAAGCTGATCCGAAGTCAGGAGCCCGGATCTTCTACAGGGATGCAGGGGCCCAAGGCTCTGGGCCACACTCTACTTCTCTCCCAGGTCACAAGCAGGACGCTAGATGGGAAGCGGAGCAGTCAGTACACAAACGAGCAGCTATATGGATCCCAGCTCATGCAAGGCGAGACTTGCCCCTTGGCTACCGTGCTGGACCCAGATTTATCCAATAGTGCTGCTCCAAATACTTCAGCTGAACACGGGTACACACTCTGCCGGCCTCACGCCTGAGGGTAGCGCTGCTAGGTCATCACTACTGTGAGCAGCTCTAGGAGATAATGGAACCTACATTTTAGCCAAAGGATGAGGAAATCAAGATAAGAGGCAAACAAGAGTCTGGAGTTTTTGGTTTGAATTCAAGTATAAAGATATCCGGGATGTTTTCTGTTGATTATTGATCAATATTAACAACATAACAATGGGGGCCAGCATGATGGCTCAACTGACTAGTCCTTTGCGTTCAAGTGCTGGCATCCCAAATGGGCAGTGGCTTGCGTCCTGGCTCTTCTACTTCCCTTCTACCCAGTAGCTGCATGGGAGACCTGGGAGAAGCTCCTGGCTCCTGGCTTCAGATGGGCTCAGCTCTGACTAATGCAGTCATTTGTGGAGTGAATCACTGGATGGAAGATCTTTCCTTCTGTCTCCCCTTATTTCTGTAAATGTGCCTTTCCAATAAAAATAAATGAATCTATATATGTTAAACACAACAGGGCCTAGTGCAGTAGCCTAGTGGCTAAAGTCCTTTCCTTGCACACGCCAGGACCCCATACCAGCACCAGTTTATATCCCAACATCCTTGCTTCCCATCCAGCTCCCTGTTTGTGGCCTTGGGAAAGCAGTCTAGGATGGCCCACAGCCTGGGGAACCTGCACTCATGTGGAAGACCCAGAAGAGGCTCCTGGCTTCAGATAGGCTTGGTTCTGACCATTGTAGCCACTTAGGGAGTGAATTAGTGGATGGAAGATCTTCCTTTCCGTCTCTCATCCTCTCTGTAAATCTTACTTTCCAATAAAAATAAATAAATATTTTAAAAAAGAACGTAACAATGGGGCAGACATTTGGTCTAGAGTGGGGAGTGAAAAATTGGGTGGATGGAAGTACTCTCTTTGTCTCTCTGCCTCTCAAAGAATAAATAACACAACACAACATCAAACACACAACCAAAACACGAGAAGTGAGTGTCACGGCATGGCCGCAGGTTAAATCGGTCGTCACCACTGGAGATCCTGCATCCAACATCGGATTTCCTGGACTCTCTCCCACTTTTGCTCCTGATCCCATTTCCTACTAATGTGCATGGGAGGCAGCAGATGATGGCTGTCTCTGCTACTCTACATCTTAAGTAGCATAAAAAGAAATGAACATTTAAAAGACTGACTTAATGAATAAATACTAAAGAAGATCCTTTAAAAACATTAATAAAATAAGCTCTAGACAAGTTGGGAAAAACATTTTTAAAATGCACACTTTTGATAAGTAATGGGGCAGGGGTGAGAGGTGCGGGTGCTTTTTGCAGCTGCTAAGATGTCCGTGGGATGCCCGCTTCCCATCCTGGCCTAGGTCTGGATCCCACTTCACTTCCTACTCAGCTTTTCCGCTGATACGTGGAAGCGAGCCAGTAAGTGGAACATCTCTCTCTCTCTCCTCCTTTCAACTAAACTTAAAAATAAAAATAGTTAGTGTGCGTTTGGTGTGGCAGTTGAAACACCACTGTGGCTGCTGGCATCCCATCTCACAATGGCTTCACGTGCCATGGCAGCTTTCCGCTGCTGTGCACCCGGGGAGGCAGCAGGCAGGGGTTCGAGCGGTTGAATCCCTGCCACCCTCACTGGAAACCGCGGGTTGAGTAACCAGTTCCTGGCTTCAGTTTGTCCTCCCAGCCCAGACTTTATTAAGCATGTTGGGAGTGAGCCAGCAGATGGGAGATCTCTGCTTTGTTTTAAGATGTAGTGACTTCTATCAAAGAGTTACAGAGAAAGAGAGGGAGACACACAAGATTTGACATCTTCTGATTCACTCCCCAGCATGGTCTCAACAGTGAAGGCTGGCCCAGGCTGAAAACAGCAGCGAGCTAAGAGCTTCTCCTGGGTCTCCTGTTTTGGCTGCCAGGGACTCGAGCACTTGGGCCACCTTCTGCTGCTTTTCCCAGGCGCATTAGGACAGAGCTGGATCCAAAACGGAGCAGCCAGGACACAAACGGTCATCTATAAAGGACTGATTCCAGCAGTGCGGGGGGCAGCTTTACCGTACATAGTGCTACTATTCCATAACACTAGCCCAAGATCTCTATTTGTCTGCTTCTGTTTATCTTTCAAATAAATGAGAAATTTAAAAATAAAGGGAAGGGGTGACTTAATACTTGAACCTGCCTTCATTTAAAACTATATACATACAGGGTCCAACGCGATGGCGCAGTGGTTAAAGTCCTCGCCTTGCACGCCCGGGATCCCATATGGGTGCTGGTTCTAATCCTGGCGGCCCCGCTTCCCTTCCAGCTCCCTGCCTGTGGCCCAGGAAAGCAGTCGAGGACGCCCAAAGCTTTGGGACCCTGCACCCGCGTGGGAGACCCGGAAGAGGCTCCTGGCTTCGGATTAGGCTCAGCTCCAGCCGTTGCGGCCGCTTGGGGAGTGAATCATCGGATGGAAGATCTTCCTCTCTATCTCTCCTCTCTGTACATCTGCCTTTCCAATAAAAGTAAAATAAACCTTTTAAAAAAAACTATATACATACAACATGGAGCTATAAGAGAGTGACATTGTGATGCTTGTTACCAAATGAACGAGCCTTGAAGACATGGTAGGTAAAATAAGCCATATAAAACCACACAAATATCATATAACTCCACATGGGAGAAACAGCTACATTCTCACAGATAGGGATCGAGATTGTGGTATAGCTGACAAAACCGCTGTAAAGCCAGCATATACATATGGGTCATGGTTCAAGCCCCAGCTACTCCGTTTCTGATCCAGCTCCCTGCCAATGTACCCCAGGAAGGTAGAGGAAGATGGCCCAAGTGCACAGGCCCCTGCATCCATGTGTGAGAACCAGATGGAGCTTCAGTCTTTGACCTGGTGCAGCCCCAATCATTGCAGACAACGGGGAGAGTGAATGAGTCACTGGAAGATTGCTCTGTCTCTCCCCTTTCTCTGTTACTCTGCCTTTCAAATAAATAAAATTTTAAAAACCAAAAAAGGCAATAACATAGACTAGAGGTTGTGGAGCTGTTGCTTGGTGGGCCTGGCACCTGCTGAGGGTGATATCAGGGAAGGCCTGGGGGTGCACAGTGGCAATGGCCACAGAACAGCGGTATTTATCCGCACCTGGCACTCCTGGTACCAATAGGAAATTTGATAGTATGTGTCCTTTAACATAATAAAGATCTGTTTTAAAAGGTGAAGCAACTCACCCAAGGTCACACAGCTAGAAAGTTGGCCAAGCCAGAATTTGAGCCCAAACCTACGGGACATTGGGTCGTGCTTGGAACCTGCAGTTGTCACTTTGTCCACACAGAGCAGCACAGCAGAAGTTGGGACATCTGGTTGGTTTTTTTTTTTTTTTTTTTTTTTCCCTACCATCACCATCTCCCACTATCTGACCTCAAAGGCCTCTCACTTGGCTCAGACGCTGCCTGATGAGACCATGTGATGTATTTTTGACAGGCTTTGCCAGCTGTAACTCTCGGGCTATCACCTGCTTGACAGGCTCAGTGGCTTCTGCTCGGGCCCTGAAGTCCTGCAGGGAGGGAGCCAACTGGCTTTCCCTTACCTCGCTCCTCCTCCAGGGGTTAACCCTGAAGTTGGGTCGCCCTTGAAGAAGCTCCCACTCCTCCTCCCCCCTCCTCCTCCCAGCCCTTTTCTCCCTGTTCTGGGGGAGGGCTCATGCCTGGCTCTGCTCCAGGATAAACTTTCACAATACAAGAGATAATACCAAGTCAAGGTGAACATCAGGGCATCCCTTTAAAAAGGGCTCCTCTTACCCTGGGACTGTGAGCGCCATCTCATCCCACAGCCGTCCGTCCTGCCTGCTGCTGCCTGGCCACCATGTGGGAGCTGCTGGCTCTTGGGCTGCTCGTTCTGGCCTATTTCTTCTGGCCTAGGGCCAAGTTCTCTGGTGCCAAGTACCCCAAGAGCCTTCCAGCCCTGCCCCTAGTGGGCAGCCTGCCATTCCTCCCCAGACACGGCCATAAGCATGTCAATCTCTTCAAGCTACAGGAGAAATACGGCCCGGTCTACTCCATGCGGGTGGGCAGCAAGACGACAGTGATCGTGGGCCAGCACCAGCTGGCCAAGGAGGTGCTTGTAAAGAAAGGCAAGGAGTTCTGTGGACGGCCCCAACTGGTAAGAGATACCCACCTCAAGAGGGGCAGTGCACTTCTGGAGCTAGCACCATGCTGGGCATGACCCTCTACCCCTTACCACTCCACACCCTGCCAGCTCCAACAACCAGAAGCACACCTGAGGGGCAAGGAGGGGGAGCAGCCTCTCCCACTAGGCCTTACCCTGCCTCTGAGCTAGGCAAGAATAGAATAGAATAGAACGCTGCCCAGGAGGTGGGATGAGGAGCTCCTAACTTCTTCTCACCTCATGTGTCGTGGCCCTGGCCTGTTCTTCTCCCTCCTTGCGGGGCAGGGGCACAGCAAGCCTAAAGTCCAGGCTCCATGCCTGGCTGGTGTTCATGTTGCTCTCTCCGAGGAAGATGGGGCAGCCGCTGCCATCTTCCAGGGCCATATGCTGGGGAAAAGGAGTCTGCTTCCTGCAGCCTCTCTGTGGCTGCCCCAGACGGCAGGCAGGCTCGTGGCTAGGTGGTGCATAGCAGAGTTTCGGCTTGGACCTTGCACCTGTCTTGGCTGGTTTCTCTCTGGGGTAAAGTAGATACGGGAGGTGAGTCAGGTGGGATTTGGAAGGTTGGGGGCTGGGAGAGGGAGACTTTGGACACTTGTCCTTCTTGGGATGTGCTTCTGGAAGGAGGCAGCTTTGCCCAAGTCCAACTGGAGCACTCTGGATGCAGGCTTGCGCTTAAGGTGACCAGCTCAGCAGGATAAAAGTAAGCGCTACCAGAGGGCCATGGGGAAGGTTGAGGTGCACAGGCAGTTCTTTTAATTTCTGCGAATTCACATGCTGCCTGTCCCGGGACAGCCACCACCTTGATTGGAAACTGGTGGGAGACTCGGGGTTCACCTGATAGAACCGGGTGCGGAAGGGCAGGTGACGTGGGTGGTTGATGAGTGTGAGTGTGGTGCATGTGCTGTGATTCTGACAGCCCTGGCTGCTCTCCAAAGGCTACCCTGGACATCTTGTCAGACAACCAAAAGGGGATCGCCTTTGCGGACTACGGCGCCCACTGGCAGCTGCATCGGAAGCTGGTGCTGAGCACCTTTGCCTTGTTCAGGGAAGGCAATCAGAAGCTGGAGAATATCAGTGAGTGCTACCCGGGACTCCAGGGGCGGCTGCTGGGGGCAGCCGAGAGGGCCTGGGGTAAGGGGAAAGCAGCCTCTGATAGCTCCATCCCACCTTTCCTTGGCTGCTGCTGCCATCTAGTGGTCACCTGCTATCCATCCCCCCACGCCCAGGCTAAGTGGAACCTGCAGAGAGGCAGGGTGAGTTCCCCACCCACCTCATGCACCACCATCCCCAACCCTACCCCCAGTATGTCAGGAAGTTAGTGTGTTCTGCGATTTGCTGGCTGCCTTCGATGGACAGACCATCAATCTGACCACATCTGTCTTCACGGCAATAACCAACATCATCTGCCTGATCTGCTTCAACACCTCCTACACAAAGGAAGACCCCGAGTTGCAGATCATGCAGCATTACAACGAGGGCATCATCAACACTCTGGACAAGGACACCCTGGTGGACATCTTCCCATGGCTGAAGGTGAGGGGTCCAGCCCTGTCCCTCCCTGTCCCCTGCCTCCACTTGACTTTGACTGCCCACTTCGGCTGCAGTGACCGCTGCCTCTTGTCATGTCTCCACATAAACACATGTAACCTTTTAATCAAGCATCTTAAGGATCTTCACGCTTAGGATAATTTGAGGCCATTTTCCAATTCCCACCTACTCCTAGCATTCCCCACAAGCATCTCTGGATTCCCCCTTGAAGGATGAGTAAGGATCAAGTATCTGCCTTTAGGCTCAGATCCAAGCCCGTGTGCCCCCCAGGGCGATACTGAATGAAGACAGAAGTGAAGACTACCTCCTCCTCCCTGGGCTGGAACTCCCTCTGTGTCCCCATCCTGCTTTCCATTTTGACTGAGATTGGAGCGGGAGCTGTCCAAAGACAGAAGGTTGGGTTGAGGAGAGATTCCAGCAGCTGGAGAAGCAAAGTGTAAGACAAGGGGACTTCCCGTTTCTTTTTTTAACTCTGCCAGATTTTCCCCAATAAAACACTGGAGACGATGAGAAAATACGTGAAAATGCGTGACGATGTGCTGAATGAAATATTTGAAAAATGCAAGGTAGGTGCTGGGCAGAGGTGAGTATATGTTAGCCGCGAGGAGAAGGGTTGGAGTCTATTCCGGACCACATGGGGCCTCCAGAGCTCAGCAGAGACCAGCATGTAGCAGGTGCACAAGAAAAAACAGGATGAACGAATCAATGAATGAATGAATGAGAAAGGGAAAGTGAGGAGAGTGAGGATAAGGTGCCTGGAAGGGACCCCTCCACTCCCTGGATTGGAAGAGGATCCTGGCAGGAGGAGGGCAGCCTAGCCCTTTGGGCCTCTGGAGGGACCCGGCTTGACACCCAGCTTAGCTACCAGCTGCCTAACGAGCATCTGGAGAGATGGCAGTGATGCTGTCACTCCCGTGGGAGACCTGGACTGCATCCCCAGCAATAGGCTTCAGCCCCCAGCTCCCAGCCCCCAGCCTCCAACTCCCAGACCCTAGCCCCCAGCCCTCAGCATCAGATATTGTGGGCATCTGGGCAGTGAACCTCTTTCAGCCTCTCAAATAAACATTTTATTATTATTTTTTAACATGTAAAGATTTTTTTTATTAGAAGGCCAGATTTACAGAGAAGGAGAAACAGAGGAAGATCTTCTATCCCTTGGTTCACTCCCCAAGCAGCCACAATGGCTGGAGCTGAGCTGATCCAAAACCAAGAGCCAGGAGCTTTTTCTTGGCCTCCCATGTAGCAGCAGGGTCCCAAGACTTTGGGCCATCCTCTACTGCTTTCCCAGGCCAAAAGCTGGGAGCTGAAAAGGAAGTGGAGCAGCTGGGATACAAATCAACATCCATATGCGTTCCCAGTACATGCAAGGAGAGGATTTAGCCACTAGGCTACCACACTGGGCTCGTAAACATTTTTTAAAAATGTAAACAGTGGGCCAGGGGCTGCCTGCTATCTGCTCAAGTGCGTAAGTCCTGGCCAGTCCCATGCATGCTACTCCAAGGAGCTGTGTCATCTCCAGGATGGGATGGCCATGCAGCAGGGGCACTGCACACAGGACACCATCCTTATCGCTGTCTCCCAACCTCACCCAACCCAGGAGAAATTCAACAGCGACTCGATCACCAACATGCTGGACATACTGATGCAGGCCAAAGTGAACTCAATCAACAACAACGCCAGCCAGGGGCAGGACTCTGAGATACTCTCGGATAGACACATCCTCGCCACCGTAGGGGACATCTTCGGGGCTGGCGTGGAGACCACCACCTCTGTGGTGAAATGGATTGTGGCCTTCCTGCTACACAACCCCGAGGTGGGCTTCTCCCTGCTGCTGCTGGCCAGAGCCTCAGGCCTTCCCAGGCTGTGCTGGCCTCAGCTCCCCGGGGAAAGCTAGCTGTCTGCACTACACGGTCATATACTCACCTCTGCCCAGCTGGGAAAGGGTGGGGATGGGGCTACTGGACCGTGACAGGCAAACTCCTGTCAGCCAGCACGCTGACCACTAGCACCTACCCTGATCCTTAGCTGAAGAAGAAGATCCACGAGGAGATCGACCAGAAAGTGGGGTTTAGCCGTAAGCCCACCATCAGCGACCGGAACCGGCTCCTGCTGCTGGAGGCCACCATCAGGGAAGTGCTTCGCATCAGGCCCGTGGCCCCCATGCTCATCCCGCACAAGGCCACCACTGACTCCAGGTGCCTCTCCTCCCACGACCACCGACCTCTGCCTTCCTTCCCCCCACCCGCTGGTTAGCCTGTAGTCAACCACTGAACTCTACCCATCATCCCCTGTTCCTGGGCTGACACCCGTGGGAAGACCCACAGATCCTCCTACCCTCCCTCACAAGCTGCCTGCTGCCCTTGGAGACACATGGCACAAAAGCCTGGGCACTCTACAACTGTACCAGTTCAACAGCACCGAACACATACCCACATGCCCTGCTAGGCACATCTCTCCACACACATCAAGGTCAACACAGAAGCCCTTGTGTGGAAGCTAGGGTTGCGGGTCATGGCCTGGTTGCTGGATTCAGGGTGCACCTGGCAGAAGCTGGGGAAGGGAGGCGTGGCAATGAGGAAGCAGACAGCTGCTATGCCCCAGGGCAAGGGAATGTGGGGGCTTGGGGTTGTGTGGGTTCAGGAGTGCAGGGTCACAGGCCTCCTCTCCTTTCCCTCTCCCACAGCATTGGCGAGTTTACCATAGATAAGGGTACAAACGTCATCATCAACCTGTGGGCTCTGCATCACGATGAGAAGGAGTGGGACCGCCCGGACCAATTCATACCTGGTAAGGTCCTGCTCTGGCCTGGCCTGTCCTCCTTCCAGGGCCACACGCCCAGCCTGGCTCCTGGGACTGCCAGTCCAGCCAACTGCCTACAGATGCAAGGTTGACCACCCCCCCAAGAAGTCCTCCACCTGTGTCCTGTTCAGTGGATGGTGGCATTTCCACATGTTCACAGCATACGGCCTCCTTCCTCAATGTTTCATTCATCTGCATCTTTAAGGGCTCCCTGATGGCAAGGATGTCACCCCCTGTGGGCTGGGTGTCCCGAGCAGGTTCCTGATGCCTCCTCTTTGCTCACAGAGCGCTTCCTGGATCCAGCCAGAAGCCAGCTCATCTCACCTTCACTGAGCTACCTGCCCTTCGGAGCTGGACCCCGATCCTGTGTTGGGGAGATCCTGGCTCGCCAGGAGCTCTTCCTGTTCATGGCCTGGTTGCTGCAGAGGTTCGACCTGGACGTGCCGGAGGATGGGCAGCTGCCCTCTTTGGAGGGCAACCCCAAGGTGGTCTTTCTGATCAACCCTTTCAAAGTGAAGATCACGGTGCGCCAGGCCTGGAGGGAAGCCCAGGCTGAGAGTAGCACCTAGAGCCTGTACCTAAAACCCTTCCCTCACTCCACCCTGTGTGGTCCCGGCACAGGATCCACGGTGCTGCTCCCCATCCCCACCCTCTCCCTACCTGTAGCCCTGATAGTACGTCCACAAATTCCACAGCTTCGCTTCACAAAGTCCCTAAGCAGTGCATTCATTTGTTCAATTGCTCACTCATTGCTTCCAACAGATTTTTTTTCTATTGAGGACTTGCCATGTGTCTGGAACACTCAAGCTCCCTGTGTCAGGAAGCTCACTTCCCAGTGAGGGCTGACAGATATGACAATAATGTCAGTGACTCACAGGCGCTTTGAAGCCCAGGACCCTGGGTGATGTGAATGTCAATGGCAGGGGTGCAGGTGGCCACTGTCACCAAGGAGGTCTGGGAATGGGTGAAGCCCCCAGAGAACGTGTTCCCTGTTGGGAGGTACAGCAAGTGAAAGAGCTTATGGTGGGAGAAGCCAGTGTGGATGGAGCTGGGCCCTGAAGAGGCAGGGTGGTTCCTGATGTGGGGGCACAGGAGTGCTGCTTGTAGAACAGGTGGAGGTCAGTTTTTATCCCAAGTGTAATGGGATGTCACAGAAGGGATTGGAACACATAAGTGGAATGGTATGATTTCGTATTTGGAAGACCACGGTAGGTCCTGCAGCGTGGTCTAGAAAGGGGCAACAATGGGAGCAGAGAGAATGCGAAGGCTGGCCCACGACAGACATGGCAGTGGCTCAGACCATAGTGTCAGCAGGCCAGGTGATGAGAATACTAGGGCTACATTTGTATTTTGAAAGTGGGACAACAGGGCCAGAGCCAGTGCTGTGGCATAGTGAGTAAAGCCACTATCTGCAGAGCTGGTATCCCACTTGAGCACCAGTTTGAATCCCAGCTGCTCCACTTCCGATCCAGTTCCCTGCTAATGCACCTGGAAAAAGCAGTGGAAAATGGCCCAAGTGCTTGGTCCTCTGCACTCTGGTGGGAGAGCCAGAAGAAACTCCTGGCTCCTGGCTTCTACCTGGCCCAGCACTGGCCACTGTGGTGATCTGGGGAGTGAACCAGCAGAAGGAAGAGCTGTCTCTACCTCTCTGTAACTCTTTCAAAATAAATAAAGGACTCTTCAAAAAATAATAATGGGATTAAAAAACAAAAGCAAAACAAACAACAAAAAACAAGAGCAACAGATCTCATTTGCTTTCATCCAGACTGCACTGCACGTAGTCTCTCCCAGGTCTGACTGGGGACAAGGACTGTGTAATCCAAGACTCAACCCGCCACTGCTGCCCCGAGACTGGCATGCCCCTGTGGCACTACCACCAAGAGGCTCTTGCAGAGCTAGAAGTGCCTAGCTTCTGGCTCTTCTCTGCAGTCAAACCCCAAGGGCTTTGCCAACATCTCCTCACCTGAAAACCGGCCCAGGATCCACTAAGCCTGGCACCCAGCACCTTTTCAGCTCGGCCATTGGCTAGCCTGTGAATGAAGGATATTTGAGACAATCATGAGAAGCTGACACTTGTCCTTTGGCCTAGCCTGGGGTCCCGACCCCCTCCTCTGGCACCCATACCAGGGTCAGATCAACTACCACCCAGGTCCCCCACTCTGAGGGGACAGAGGGCTCTGAAAGGGCCAGATGGGCGAGGCTGACACTCCACCCAGCTCTCAGAAGTCACAAGGAGAGAGGGATAAGGCCCTGCATCCTCCCCAACAGCTAGCTGCTGATCCAAGTGCTGGTGACTGCTCCCACCTGGGCCTTCACCGGCCAGCACCTGGGACATGGCTGATGGGCCTGCATGAGATCTGGGGCAGATGTGATGGGGTCTCAAAGCGACCCAGCCTCCCATTTGGCCACCTCAGTGAGCCCAGAGGGAAAGGCTTGACAGCAGGGGGTGCCCTTTCCTCCCGCAGGGGTTCCTGCTGTGTGCCCAGTAATGCAGAGGGCAGCAGGACCGGCTGGGGAGAGCTGGCTAAGCACCAGGAAGGCGTTCCCGGGATGAGTGATGACCAGATAAGCAGTCAGACAATGCCTGAGCTCTCCCTACAGGCTGCAGGTGAGATGCATCCGGGAGGAAGGCAAGCAGTCTCCAACTACTGACTCAACATGGAACGGTAGGGCAAGTGGAGAGATGGAGTAGGCCACCATGGGAGTGGCGTCACACAGCCCGCTGGCTGCAAGGCTGGGACCAGAACCCAAAATGCTAGTGCTGTGAGGGGAGTCAGCCACACACTTCTGCTGTTCCTCTGGGGTCACACACAGGGGCTCTTGGGATGGTTGCTGGAGGTAGGGAGACCCTTTCTAAAACAAACTGCTGCCCCCATTTCTCCTCTCCAACCCCCATTCTAAACCCTTGGAGATAAACAAATGTCCCCCTCCACAATTTGTGTCCCAAAGCCCAGGACACAGACGGGCTCACCCAGTGTGGTCCTGCAAACTGGGTGGCCAGGGAAAACCTGCTCCTCAGACTTGAACCTGCATGTTCTCTGTGCTAACAGGGGCCTGAAGTGTGCAAGGCTCAGCACCAACCTCACAGTGGACCCAGGGTAGGTCACAGCTGAGTACTGACGCTGGCGCTGTCATCATCGCTTTATGAACCAACTCCATGGTGAAGCTTCTCTGGGAGCTTTACGTAAACTTCCTGAAAGGCCCCAGGACAGAACTTTCCAGAACCCACCCTTGCAGCCCCAGAGTCCCTCCAAAGCCAGGGCAGATGACAGCTGGGAAGTGGGTGAGGGGTGCCTAAAGAGAAACTCAGTGGGTGTTAGAGCACAGGAGACTTCTCTGTGAGACAAGGTGGCACAGGAGGAGAAACACAGGCAGGGACAGTGAGAAGTGTCCTTCTCATCCAGAAACAGCCCGCTGCCCTTCTATCTGCTCCGTGGAGGAAAGAAACAGGCTTCCAAGGAAAAGACACAAGTTCACAGCATCCCCAAAGGGACCCAGCCTCCCCGGGGAAGTAGATAGGCTCTGGGAACTGCAGCAGGCACCTCCACCCCTTTCCTGGGTCCCTGTCAAGTCTGAGAAGTCCCAAGCCTCTCCCCAGGGCCTCTGAGTACCAGCATTCCAGCTCTCCATCATCCCACCCCAATCACGTGGCCTTTGGGTCAGCAGATCTGGCTTCAAGTCCTGGCCCTACCTCTGAATGGCCATGGGACTGGTTAGTCCATCACCTCGGGATCCCTCAATCCCATTCACAGAGCAAGGACAATCACAGCTCACACCTGAAGAGGTATTTTTAAGGCTGAGATGGGAGAGTGTAGTTAAGATGCCAACAGTTACTAAGATGAAAGTGACTGAAGCACTGATTTTTGTCCCACTTCCTGTCCCACTTTCTCCTGACACTTTCCAAAAGGCTCAGTTGGCTTGGCCTTTCCCAGGCCATGTGAGCACCCTCCTGTCTCGGGCTTCCCGTGTGGGTGCACATGCGCATGAACATTTCTCAATACTTGGCATGAGGTAGGTACTCAAAAAACTGCAGAATGCACACTCGTTGAAGTGGTCTTCTGCCCTTCCTTTACCTGGCAAGCTCAGCTTAGTCACTTTCTTCAGAAAGCCTTCCCTGAATCCCCAACTGGGCTACATGGTCCCCCATGGCAACCAGTAGTTCACGGGACTGAAAGAGCTCTCTCTCATGTGGATGGCAGTGGTCCAAGCACTGGGAGCATCTTTGCTGCTTTTCTTAGGAGTATTAGCAGGGAGCTGGATTCAAAGTGGAGCATCTGGGATTTGAACCAGCATCCATATGGGACACTGCTGTTGCAAGGCAGATTTAACAAGATTTGCTACAAAGTTGTGATGTCCGCCCCTAGCCAGCAAGCTCACTCCCTCCACCTCCTCTCCCCCAACTCTCCTGTAACACTTCTTGCTCCTGAGAATAGAGGAAACTTGGAGAATGGGGAGAGGGAGTGCTCATTTAAGCCACTCTTTTGCACTCTAGGTGCTGGCAATTGTCTCCATCTGCACAATATCATGGCCCTCGGAGACCCAGGGCCAGAACTAAGTGTCAAGGGTACGGGCACAGCCTCTGGCCTTCAGTCTATTAAGAGGTGCACCACTTAGCTTTTTGCCACTTGCACCTCACGAAGTCAGGATGATACCCTCGGATCCTTCTTCCAGCGACAGCATGGAACGGTCCCTAAAAGCCAGTGTGGCTCCACGGGCTGCCTGGAGGCGGCAAGAGGTCCCCTGGCTTCTGAAACGCCAGCAAAGCACCCTCCAGCCAAGGCGCATCTGGCTAACACTGGACTCTCAGAAACCAGAGCTGACAGCGGGGCAACGCTGGGGCCTGGGGAGGGTGACACCTGCTGCCCCCATGTTGGAGGGCGGGGAGAGGGTCCCAACTATCAGTGAGCAATCCACCTGTGCATGCAGTGGCAGGGAGAGCAAGAACCTCTTGATAGGTGGAATGGGATGCACATCATCTTGCTTGGGTACTGGCAGGTGGCCCAAAGTCATCACGTAGGCTGAGGGCGGAGGCCATTCAGACTCCTGACACAGGCTACAGAAAAAACCATCACCCCATGCCTTCCCAGGCAGGGGCGGCAGAGGTTGTTCCTTCCCACTGCCTTCGACCTTGGCATGACCCAAGTTCTCAGAGGATTGTCTTCAGCATTTGGCAAGATGGACACAGGAAGTCTCACTCATACAGGGACAGAAGTAGCTCCCCTATAGCCCAGGTGTCAGCTCTGAGCTTCCTGCCTGGCAGTGGGGACAAGCGGCACCCCACCACTCCCACCTGTGCATTCTCATGCTTCACCCTATCACTAGAGGCCGAGTGACAGAGGGATCTTCCATCCACTGGTTTGTTTGCCAAATGAAGGCAACTGAGGGCTGGGGCAGGATGAAACCAGGAGACAGGCACCCTGCCCGGGTCTCCATCTCCAACAATTGTCTCCAACAATTTGGGCCACCTTCTTCTGCTGCTTTATCAGGCATATTAGCAGGGAGCTGGACCCGAGGTGGAGCAGGCAGGGCTTAAAATAGCACTCCTTTACAGAAATCAGTGTAGCAAACAGTGGTTTAACTCCCTGTGCCACAACAGAGGCCCCACCCTAACATTAGGTGATGATTTCACACATATAAACTTCGTTTCACTAACTGTAATGCAAGTTCTCAAGGGGCCTGTGTTAGGTACTTTTTTTTTCTTTTTAAGATTTATTTATTTTTATTGCAAAGTCAGATATACAGAGAGGAGAAGAGACAGAGAGAAAGATCTTCCATCCAATGATTCACTCCCCAAGTGACCACAACGGCTGGTGTTGCACCAATCCAAAGCTAGGAGCCAGGAGCTCACGTGGGTCTCCCACACGGGTGCAGAGTCCCAAGGCTTTGGGCCGTCCTCGTCTGCTTTCCCAGGCCACAAGCAGAGAGCTGGATGGGAAGCGGGGCTGCTGGGATTAGAACCAGCGCCCATATGGGATCCTGTGTGTTCAAGGCGAGGACTTCAGCTGCCAAGCCACCCTGCCAAACCCATTATTAAATATTTTTTAACCTTGGCATTCAGCACAGTACTAGACACAGAGCAGGAAACACTGTGTGTATTAAATTTAAGGCCAAGCACCCACTCACACTTCTATTGCCTCAACGAGAGATCTTGCTATCTTTTAGTTGCCATGTTTTAGCCCTGTGGTATCAGGCAGAGCTTCTTCCTGCTATCTCAGGTCTGACTGTAACCTGTTTATAGAAATGTGCAAAATATTCCAAATGTTACAGACACGCCCTTGGCAGAGAGACAGAAAGGCTTGCGGGAAAGGTCCTCAGGACAAAGTGGGGGATTCAGCAACCTCAGCCAGTCTGCCCGGGGCCGGAAGCATGTCTTCAACCACAGGAAAGGTACTCAGGGCTTGGGGTCCTGCGAGTCTAAGAAAGAGGAAAGAGGCACAAGGCACTTTTGGGGGATTGATTTTTATTTGGGCTTCTCACAGTGGTTAGAGCCACTCTGTCTTCAGAACAATCACAGCACAGGAAATGCGTCACCGAGACTGCCCAGAACAGTCGGACCAGCTGAATCTTATTGCTTAAAATACACATATTCACAACTGACAAATGGCACTGGGCCTTGCACAGGAATGTTAGCGTTTACAAACCTCCCCACTGTAGCACCAAACTCTCTACCAATCCCTTCCTCACCCTCCACCTGGAAAGCTGGCCTTGTTCACACCTCCCAGGCCCCTGCCCATCCCTCTCCCTTGGCAGCGCAGAGCCAGGCTGTGACTGCGGATCAAGCCCACCTCTGCCGGCCGCATCTTCTCTTGCCTTTAGGGCAAGGCGCTGCAGTGACTCCCAACAGTCAACATGTGGACCACATCCCCTCTGCTTTGGGGGAAGACATTTGCGAGGGCCAGAATTCTTCCATTTGATCAGTTAACTGAATCAGGATTCATTTTGGTGCAACTTGTTCTCCTTTCAGACACTTCAGTGAGTTGTTTGGGATTAAACATAAAAAGGACAGCAGGAAAGGCATCTCTGAGGGCTGCGCCTGCGCTCCAGCCGCTCAGGCCACGTGGCAGCTGGCCTGCACCTGCCAGGCTTCAGTGAAGGAAGGGAAGCCCCATGGTACTGCACACCATGGCACGCACCAAGGCCTCCCGCCAGCCCCAGGCAGGGTTGCCACTAGGTCATGCTTATCACTGGAGATCCCATCAAGCTTCTCTCTGCAACAGCTCCGTGGCCTTCCCGTCCCAAGTGGTTCTGGACACTTCCCAGGCGCTGAGACCGAGGGCCGGGAGCAGCTGAGGGAGGCAGACAGGCTCAGCATGTTTCCTTGTACAGGGAACAGAACACAGGCCTCCGAGGGTACATGAAGCCAATTGTGCAAATTGCAGTGGTGGGCAGAGTACAACCTCTACCCTGAGCACAGCGTCTCAGGCAAACATGGGGGGCTGCCGTTGACAATGCTGCTGGAAACCCAGAGTACACAGTCAGACATTTGTTCGGTAAACAGTAAATGCGTAAAATAAATTACCTTGAGAGGGCCAGGTTTGCTCCCGACGTGTGGCTAATGTGAGCAGAATGGCTGCTGTTCAAAGTATCTTCACAGGAACACAGGGCTTGGGGCTCACACACAGTGGACAGACACACACAGATCACCCGGAAAGTCACTGCATACAGACTTCACTTTGTTCGATGTGGATTTTGGTTTTGTGGAATCCAAACATGGATGCTTGTTCACCTCACAACCTTGGATCTGTCTGCTTTTCATGTACATATATGTATATGCATATATATATGTGTATGTATATATATATTTTTTCCTTTCTTGCCATTACATCTATGCTTAGACTAAATATCATCGTTCAAGAGTGGGGGAAGAACCAAACTCTTCGTAGGAACACGGCTGCGCAGGGAACGTTAGTGTCGGCCGTTGTGTCTCCCTCAGCCTTCCTTTCGAAGTCCATCTGGGCACCTGGAGCCCAACAGCAGGAAGAGGAACGCTGTGGTCTTCACCCGCTGAACCTGGCCACTCAGACTCCTGACGGAGGCTACAGAAAAAGCATCAGCCCATGCCAAACGGGGGTCAGGGACAGGACATGGAAACCACAGATAACCAAGGCATTTCCCTTAAGTGGTCAGTTAAAACAAACACAAACAAACAAAAGCAATTCAGAATCATAGAGAGAAGGTTGTGTGAGATGGGCCGCTCTTTCTCAGGCCCCACAGCTTCTGAGGCCCCTCTTTCCTGAAGCAAGGAGATGCTAGGCTGCTGACCCCACGCTGTGAGGTAGGCACAGGCCAAGCACAGACACGTTGGAGCTGCACGCCCACCTACCACCATGGTCAGGGCTGTGTGCTCACAGGGCTCCTAGAGATGGCTTCCAGGAATGGCCCCCGGGCCAGCCGAGCCTCGGCACAAAATACCCGTGGCTGGCTCCGGTGCCACCACAGCCTTTGAAAGCCGCCTTGGGAAATAGCCACAAACTTCCTTCTTCCAGGAGATAATTTTCGTCTGCCCACTGGTAGGCTCCTTGTCTTCAGCTGCCTTTTGTTTGTTTTAAAAAGAAAAACAAAACAAAACAAAAATCAACCAACAAACAAAAAAAGGCAGGATTATCTTGCACACCAGTCCAAAGGCAGCAAGGGACTTCTGGGGAAGAAACGGTGGAGGACACCTGGCAGTGCATCCACCATGTCCCCTGGGATTTGAGGGACCAAACCCCTACCAACCTGCCTCACAACTGCCGTCCGGTTCTCTTCCTCCCCAAGAATGATCGGATCCCAGCTCTGCAGACGCTGCCAGTCACTGGTGACAATCCCAGCCATCTGTGGGCTTCCCTAATCCAGGGCCAAGACAGGCTGCCTCTCCTGGCCACAGACACAGCAAAGTTCTCTTAAAGTAAAACTGGAGCATAAATCCGTTCCATCAGCGAGGCCCACTGCAGGGCACAGTCCCAGCTCCCTTCCCTGGGGGCTCTGAAAACACACTTCTCTGACCCAAAGGGGAGGTGAGCTAGGACTCGGAAAGGGGACAGAAGGCGGTGGGGCAAGTGAGAGGAAGGAGTCACACCTACTTCTCAGCTCTCCACAGCACTGTGCTTCTGTGGGGAGAGAGGCATCCGCACCCCAAACCGTACCTGGAAATGTAGGAAAATGCAAAGAGAAGAAAAGAAAGAAAAAAACACCAAAGTGGCTGTAGCACTTTCTCCAAAAGTCCTTAATGCTTCTCTTGTGGCTCTCCCCAACCCTGGTTGTTTTGCCAAGTTCCTGGGTGCAGGCAGTTGCTGCTCTAGCTGGGGGAGCCACTGCTCTGGGAGTTTGGAGAGTCCTGCTCATTGATGGTGTTCAGCAGCAGGCATGCAGGTGGCTGGAGTAGGGGAGAATGCCCAGGCTCTCGAGCCTGCTCCTCGGAGGGCTGGCAGAGCCCTTCCTCCACGTCACCAGGGGGCTGGACATGACAGCTGTCACAGAAGTCCAGAGGTCCATCCAAGGCATCATCAATAAGTGTGCTGAACTCTTTGAGGTCATCGTTGTGGTGGCCCCGGTTACACACACACACCTCGATGCCCGAGTCCCCAGTGAAGCGGCGGTGTCTGCCTGGCGTCTTGTCTTTGCTGTCTGGGAGTGCACTACCATGCTCAGAGTCGTACTCTCTCAGCAGCTCCTCCTTACTTTCCGAATCCTTGTCCAGGAAGGCCTCAGGGTCCAGCTCCCCCAGACCGGCCACTGAACCACTGGGCTCCATTCCACAGGCTTTGGTGGCCACGTGGTCGGCTGGCACGTCAGAGGGCTCAGGGTCAGCAATGCTCGGGGGTCTTGTGCTGCTTCTGCTGGGCCCAGACAGGGGGCTGCTTGATGCCCCTGGGGGACCCCGGGTAGGATCAGTGCTGGTGGGATTGCCACCTGCAGGGCTGCACTGTGGAAGCAGCTGCTGCTGTGGCTGCGGCTGCTGAAGCTGGAAGGCACTGTATGGTGGGGGAGGAGTTGGAGGTCGGTTCACCACTTCCTCATAAGGAGGTAGTAAATAGTTTGGCAAAAACCCTAAAATGGGGAGGCATGGAGGAAAAAATTACTGTATTGACCATTGTTCTTGGGTTGCAAATCTCACAGTGATTATACACACTATCACTTCCCATCCCAGCATCGCTGTCAACAAATGGCTATGTATGGCTCCTGGTTGCAGGCGGGGGAGAGGGCGGTGAGCAGCCCTGTAATCAGGACAGTCAGGGAGTTGCCTAATCCAGTTTCTTGAAATCTGAGCTCCCTAAAGCTGCTTCATAAGCAAGCACTTCTCGCCTGTCTGGAGCAGAGAGTCATGCAAACGCAGCGGACAGCCAAGAAATAACTTTGGCCTGGAACAGACCTATTCGCACACGCAAAGTCAGTCTCATGTTTCCTGCTTACACCATGTCCTCCCTTTAGGTCCTGTGGATCTCAGGGTCGGGGACCCTAAATTAAGACTTCCCGACCACTTTTAAAATTTTCCCCCAGCCTTTCAGATGTATCGAACACTTTCTCTCACAGAGCAGAAACTGGTGTTTTCCTCTCATCTTAGCAAGGTTAGAAGTAGTCTGGAAAAATAAACTGAGCTTCACTTTAACTCAGAGAAGAAAGGGATTATCAGCGCAGGGTTAGGTCCTCTGCCATTCAAAGCTTATCAAGAACATGGCAGGAACCAGCATTTGTGGCAGAGCGAGTAAAGCTGCCTACAATGCTGCCATCCCATATGGGCCCTGGTTTGAGTCTCGGTTCCTCCATTTCAATCCAGCTCCGTGCCAATGCATCTGGGAAAGCAGTAAAGGTGGTCCAAATCCTTGGCCCCTGTACCCATATGGGAGGTACTGAAGAAGCTCCTGGCTCCTGGCTTTGGTCTGGCTTAGTCCTGGCCACTGTGGCCATTTGGGGAATGAACCTGTGGATGGAAGATCTCCCTGTGGAATAACTGACCATTTTACTTTGCAGAACACACTGAAGAGTGGCTTTGGACAAGCTGCCCAGTTGGCCTCCACAGGCCAAAGACAGGTCACAAGTAAGGTGTCCCAGGAAGTCTGAGGAGCGCTCATCTAAGTTTGGGGCTTCTTAGGAAGTCTTACTCCCCTTTCACAGCAGTCTCTGCTCAAGCATATCACCCAGCAGTGAGCAAGATAGGAGGAAGTCAGACCAATGAACTCCACATCAATTCACTCGCATTACATTTCATCCACCTCTGCCCTTAAAATACAAAACAACCCTCTCACAGCACAGAGACCTGTCCAGGAAGCAACCACTGTGAATTCTGGGATGGTCCAATGGCTTCAGGAGCCACTCCACAGTGCCTGCTCCCCTTGGTTAAAGGGCTGCCCCAATCCTGTATCTGCAAACTCCTGCTCTAGGCAAGGCAAGGCCTCCACGCCTCGAGAGGTGAGCCCAGGGCCCACGGGCAGAGTGGAACGCCTCTGAGGTACGTACTGAAATAAAATGGCAGCGCAGAGTGGTTGTGGGCTTCCCGGTAGGCAATCAGGTTGATCTCATGTTGCCGCTGCTGGGCCTGCAGGCGGTGCTTGGCTCGGCGGTGGTGGCAGACACAGCAGCAGCTCAGGAGGATGAAGATGGTCCACACCAGCCAGAACCCTGGGGTCAGGGAGGCAAAACAGAGAGGCACACATGGTGTGAGTACCAGCCAGAGGTGGCGGAGCTCAGAACCAGGGAGCAAGTGGATACTGCCCACCTGGCTGGAGCTAGCAATGTTAGACTTCACCCAGTTAACTTACATTGAAGCCATGTGTTCAATTTGTATAAATGTCTGTGCCAGAGCAGAAGACATAGGATGGGAGAACAAAGCAAGAAGTCAGTCAGTCATGCCAGGTGCTCCTTGGGGCAAGTGAAGAGGGTCAGGGCACCTCCCCAGTACCATCCAGGGGTCCCCCTGGATGTCAGGTTTTGTGATATTAAATATGCTCACATGAAGAGACTTTCAGGAAAATGCTTAAACTTCCCTGGCACCTGTCTCCCTCCTACCCACAACGTCCACTCAGAGGATTCACAGGCGCAAGGGGTTTCACAGATGTTTCTGTTAAAGGAATGTTTAGGGTTCTTCTGATTGCACCAAAAAGATCAAGGGCTTCTCTGCTATGTATGTCCCATGTAATGAAAGAGCCACTAAAGTGAAGGTGGAAAATTCTAATTGCCTCAAGTCCATCTCCTCCCTAGAGAGTGCAAATGACTTCTTCCGTTCTCTGTAATCCAGTACAATTCCATCTCCCATTGCCACCTCCCTTTGGCCTGCAAGTGCAATAGGCTGTTAACAGCCTTAGTCTTCCTGCTCTGGGGGTAGAGGTGAGGGAGAGGAGGTGGAGGAAGGAGAAGAGTCACAGCCCTTCCTCTTAGTGTCAGCTAGCCCATCTCCGAGATCACACTCAGTGACGCTTGACAAATTCCAATATAAGATCCTCTCCTCACACAATCTGTAAAACAGGGCTAGGCAAGGATAAAGTCAGGAGCCTGGTGTTCAACTTCAGACTCCAAGTAACACGCCCAGGGTGCACACTGGCAGGAAGTTAGTTGGGGAACAGATTGGACACTGGAACCGAGGCCCTCCAATATGGGATGCTGGCCTCCCAGTGTCCTGACTACTGTGCTGAATCCTCACCCCCACAGAAGATTATTCTGTAATATATTTTTGTAAAGGAGAGACATTTTTTAAAAAGACTTATTTTTATTTGAAAGGCAGTTTGAGAGAGAGAGAGAGAGAGAGAGAGAGAGTCTTCCATCCACTATTGTACACTCCAAATGGCCACAACAGCTGGAGTAGAGCCAATCTGAAGTCAGGAGCCAGGAGCCTCTTCCAGTCTAAGGCATTGGGCTATCCAAAGGAAGCCAATTCCAGAGCAGAGCACTTGCGGTGCCATGGATGGAACAGAAAAGACCGTAGGGCCTGGGGCAATAACCTAGTGGCTGAAGTTATCATATTGCATACACTGGGATCCCATATGGGCGCCGGTTCATGTCCTGGCTGCTCCTCCTCCCATCCAGCTCCCTGCTTGTGGCCTGGGAAAACAGTGGAGGACAGCCCAAAGCCTTAGGACCCTGCACCCATGTGAGAGACCCAGAAGAAATTCCTGGTATCTAGCTATGGATCAGTTCAGCTCTGACCGTAATAGCCACTTGGTGAGTGAGCCAGCAGATGGCAGATCTTTCTCTCTGTCCTTCTCTCTGTAGATCTTTCCAATACATTAATTAATTAAAAAAAAGAAAAGGAAAGTTCCTGGTTTCAGCTCCAGCTGTTGTGGCCATTTGAGGAGTGAGCCAGCACATGGAAGACCTTCCTGTCTCTCCTTCTCTCTGTAAATCTGCCTTTTCAATAAAAGTAAATAAATCTTAAGACAAGACTCCTAAAGAGCTTGGGCCCGGCGCGGTGGCGCAATTGGTTAAAGGTCCTCGCCTTGCACGCCCGGGATCCCATATGGGCGCCGGTTCTAATCCCGGCAGCCCCGCTTCCCTTCCAGCTCCCTGCCTGTGGCCTGGGAAAGCAGTCGAGGACGGCCCAAAGCTTTGGGAACCTGCACCCGCGTGGGAGACCCAGAAGAGGCTCCTGGCTTCGGATCGGCATAGTATCGGCCCGTTGCGCTCACTTGGGGAGTGAATCATCGGACGGAAGATCTTCCTCTCTGTCTCTCCTCTCTGTATATCCGCCTTTCCAATGAAAAAATAATAAAAATAAATCTTTAAAAAAAAAAAAAAAAAAGACTCCTAAAGAGCTTGTCCCACTGAGGGGAAATAAGAGACACGGCAATGTGATCCTCACAAATCTGGGAGCCAACCTAGTCCGAATTGTACGCCATCAACTTCCCAAGGCGGAATACTCACCCTGGTCCCCATGGGGCTGGGCCAAAATTTTTTAGATAGATTTCCAACCCAAAGAAAAGCTTCAAACAGTGAAGCCTAATGAAAGACACACACGAGAGCAACACGACTCTGCAGCCTTCCCTTTTCATGGCCCTCAAACACACACTTTCCTCAATGACAACTCTGAGCTGAGCCCTTGCCATGGGGCGTGTCTGTCATGCCAAGTAAAATGGAAAACATGTTTTTTAAAACAATCACCGGCCACTGTTGGAACTGAGTCATGTGTCCCAGAGTTCACTGCAAACTTGGGAAAACACCACTCGTGAACTAGCAGGAAATTCCCCATTAGGACGCCAAGGCAAGCTGCAAGGTTGCTTCCTTCCTCCCTGGCCCCAGTCGGCGAGGGGGACCTTCCCTGATGCTTCACGGCTCTCAGCCTGGTCAGCACCTGCCACTGTCACAGCAAAGGCCTGAGTTTGGGGAATGAAGACTTCAGAGACGTGCAACTTCATCTGAAAGACTGGCTGGCTGGCTTTCCCCAAACCATGAGCGCATATCTGGAAGAGGGTTCAGATTCCCACTCACAAAGCCGTTTCCCAGCTTAGTGAACTTGGTTATTTATGGTTTACTTCTCTCACCTGCACAACTTGGAGAATGGCGTCTGCCTTATTCGACTGCGGTAATAACTAGATGAGTCACAGTCCATCTCATGCAGACTACTCACAATTCTCTCGGTTTTTATTAGTGTTGTTGTGGTTACAGGCATAACCACAGCTGGGAAGGGTTTCCTTTGAATTTCCTTTTTAATTCCCAAAAAGTATTACACGAAAAACATGGGTTAGGTAGAAGTCCAAAGTCTGCTTCTAGGCTCTATCCTTGGCAAAATTCGCTGGAAAAACCACTCAACTCCTATTTGATGAACCTCGCCATTAAAAAGGTGCTGTGTCAGCTGACAGCACGACCCCTGTTACTGCCCAAAGGCCAGGACCACCAGGGAGCTGGCTTCTGATCGGAGGAGAAGGAGATCCCAGCTCCCTGCCGGCCAAGCTCCTTGGGGTGGCAGGGTGGAAAATGCTGAAGTTCTGGAGGGTTTTACTTTACTTTTCTTTTTTTAAGATTTATTTATTTTTATTGCAAAGTCAGATATATATATATATATATAGAGAGAGAGAGAGCGAGGAGGAGAGACAGAGAGGAAGATCTTCCATTCAATGATTCATCCCCCAAGTGACCACAATGGCCAGTGCTGTGCCAATCCGAAGCCAGGAGCCAGGAGCTCTTCTGGGTCTCCCACACGGGTACAGCGTCCCAAAGCTTTGGGCTGCCCTCAACTGTTTTCCCAGGCCACAAGCAGGAAGCTGGATGGGAAGCGGGGCTGCTGGGATTAGAACTGGTGCCCAAATCGGATCCCAGTGTGTTCAAGGCAAGGACTTCACCCACTAGGCCACTGTGCCAGACCTTTCTTCTTCTTCTTCTTCTTTTTTTTTTTTTTTAGGATTTATTTACTTTTATTGGAAAGGCAGATTTACAGAGAAAAGCAGAGACAGAAAAACCTTCCATCCAATGGCTCACTGCCCATATAGCTGCAACAGCCAGAGCTGAGCCGATCCAAAACCAGGAGCCTGGCCTTCTTCAAGATCTCCCACCTGAATGCAAGGTCCAAGGCTCTGGGCCATCCTCTGTTGCTTTCCCAGGCCACAAGCAGGGAGTTGGATGTGAAGTGGAGCAGCCAGGACACAAACTGGCACTCATATGAGATCCCAGCACATGCAAAGCGAGGATGTAGCCATTGAGCCACCATGGACCTTTTTTAACAGCAGATCATCAATGGGTACCTTAAGATAAGCCACAGCCTCGCCTCTGTTTCCAGCCCAGGTTCTTGCCAGTGCGCATCTTGGGAAGCAGCAGATGATGGCTCAAACAGTTGGGACATGGGGGGACCCAGGTTGAGTTCCTTGCGTCTGCCGTTATCTCAGCCAAGCCCTGGCTGTTGTAGGCATCTGGGGAATTAATTGGCAGATGGAAGGCATTTCTCCCTCTTCTGCTCTGCTTTTCTCAAACAAAAATCAAAAACAAAAATAAACTGGAAAGAAAAATCATAGGCTAAAAAAACACAAAAAACAAACAAAATAGGGTGCAGCACTGACAAGTTTGCTAAGTATGTTTCATGCCATCTCAGGGAAATCCTGCCAACCAGAAACACTCCCTTCTTCCCACTAAAAATCCAAACATGGAAAACCAACGGCTGGGTGAAATTCTCCCTAATCATCTTAGAGGGAAAAATTGCCAACTTCACTCTCTCCCTGGACAACGTAGCTGGTGGGTAGAAACAGCACTGTGAGACCTGGGAGATCTGGCTTCAGGGTTTGTGACGTTCAGTTCACTGCTGGACTGCTTAGAAAGCAAACACGTGCATAGAAGGTTCTTAACCTGGTGTGTAAGACCTCCTGTGAGCTTATCCTGGTTGTTTCACTCCCCATCCAGCTCCCTGCTTGTGGCCTGGAAAAGCAGTAGCAGGGGATGGCCCAAAGCCTTAGGATCCTGCACCCACGTGAGAGACCCGGAAAAAGCTCCTGGCTTTGGATCAGCTTAGCTCTGGCCATTGCAGCCACTTTTGGAGTAAACCAGCAGAAGGAAGATCTTCCTCTCTGTCTCTCCTTCTCTCTGTATATCTGCCTTTCCAATAAAAAAAAATAATAAACATTTTTTTAAAAAATGATCATGGGATTAAGGGCTGGATGATTGTATGAATGATGATGAATTAAAACACAAGTGTCATAAAAAGTATATGGTCAGGGCCTGGCGGCATGGCCTAGCGGCTTAAGTCCTCACCTTGAACGTACTAGAATCCCATATGGGCGCTGGTTCTAATCCCAGCAGCTCCACTTCCCATCCAGCTCCCTGCCTGTGGCCTGGGAAAGCAGTCGGGGACGGCCCAAAGCCTTGGGACACTGCACCCATGTGGGAGACCCGGAAGAGGTTTCTGGCTCCTGGCTTCGGACCAGCATAGCATCGGCCGTTGTGCTCACTTGCAGAGTGAATCATCGGACAGAAGATCTTTCTCACTGTCTCTCCTCCTCTCTGTATATCTGACTTTCCAATAAATAAATAAATCTTTAAAAAAAAAAAAAGGAGTATGGACATAATAACAACAAGCAGTCCACATACTCGCAGCCACTGCACTAGGAAAACAGAATCTTCAGGCCTCAACTCAGGCACACCACAAAGACACGGGGGAAAGGTTGCTGGCTCAAAGCTCAAGGTCTGTGTGGCCGGGAAGAGTATTCAAACTGGAAAATTCAGCAGCTTAAAGGCAACTGTAGCTAAAGAGGTATCCTGATGCTGGAGTCCCGTGTGATGGGGGTGGAAGACAGGAAGGTGTGAAGAGCGTGGCTCCATTGCAGGCAAGGTTGCAAGGAACTCCCCGCTGTGTGGCAAGGCCTGGCGGATGTCTCTACATCACTGAATGCGGCTCTGCCTCCCTTTGCATCGACACCAGACAACCCCATGAGAATTCTGTAATTATTCAGGCATTGCCTGCCTTGCGGAGTTACTGTTAAAAGTCATAGGAACTTAAAAAGCTAATGTTGCTAGTGCAGTTTTTAGCCAAAGAGCTATATCGCTGTTATGGCTGCGTCCTGTGGCAATATGATAATCCAGAGAGTACTAACTCCCCTTTTGATCCTTGCTAATCAAGGATTCTGCTTTCAGGTGTTGGTGGAATACTATTCTTTCCTTCTTCTTGATCTTTTAGGCCTTCTCCCTTGCTATCTCAAGACCAATTGTAGGAATGTGCTACTGACCAATATGATCAATCTGTTGAAACCTTTTCTAAGCCAGGCGCAGGGTGCCAGATATGAAAAGCAACCTAGCCTTAGGTGAAACAAAAAGGCAAGAGTATCTTTGGAAACACCACTTGACATGACGTAAAAAAGTCTGAGCCAGAGTTTGACTGATTTTGTATAAATAAAGCGGACAGCTTTTGTGCGTGGTCCATTATGATGATGAAGAGTTACTAGTGGTCCGTCTTTTTCTTTGCGCCTCATCCATGCACCCTTCGCGAGTTCCGAACTCAGCTGGAGCTGGACTCCGGCACTCTTCCGATCAGAACCCTTCCGAGGATGTCCTGGGTGAGGCTTTCTTTCCTTGCAATGCAAGGCGGGTGAGATATTAAACAAAAGCCAGTAATTTTTACATTTCAAGCACAGTGGAGGGGCAGTTAGAGGGAAAAGGGCTTCTAATAACAAAAAGTGCTTCTTCTGTTTGACGTGAACCTCATGAGCTCATTCCAACGTTCAGCCTCAGTCCTACCCATCAGGCAGACACCGTGCCCAGACGAGGCGGCAATCCAGGCACAGCAGAGTCCACACGAGGCATCTCTCTGCAGGGTGTACATGACAGACATGTCCTGCCAGTCTCTGTCCCCTCCAGGACTTGCAGAGAACACGGTAGCATGGAGAATGGGAGCCTTTTCTCCCAGTCCTCAGCCAAGTTGCACAGCTCTCCCTCTAACTTAAAGCTTCTGCTTCCTTGGCCACGTCTCTGTCATCTGGGTCTCCCTGCCCTCAACATCCCACCCCTGGTGACCCAGTTCCCATGGCTACTGAGTCTGCTTTGCTGACAGCCCAGGAGGCTCTGTCCACCTGAGAATCTGAGATGGGGCTGTCTGCATCTCTGTTCCATTCTGGAACCGATGCTGCCTGGGCAGAACCCCAGAAAAACAACCTCTGTGGCCTCGTGGCATTCCAGCTTTGACTTCTGCTTAAACCAGGTGTGGGAGGGAGAATCTGAACCCTGTGGTTATCTGTATTTTAAAATATTTAAACACAAGCCCTCTACGTTCCACTTGTTCGGCACTTGGTGTTTGCACAAACTTCCTCAGCCCAACCCCTTCTAAGATGGCAAAGGTTCCATGCCCTCTGTCATTGCTTATCCATCAGGTCTGGTGCTCGACCCCTCCTTCCCAAAGATGGACCCTGAGAAGGGGAGATGGGCCTCTCTTCCACCCTGGAAAGGGAGAAGCGAGGTGATGGAGAGGTCCCATCAGAAAGACCTGTTCCTGCTGCCTACAAGATTTGGATCCCTCTCAGCCAAGAATCTAATTTCATTTTCTGACAGAACAACGGTCCTTCCAACGCCCATATGGGATCTCAGCGCGTTCAAGGCTAGGACTTTAGCTGCTAGGCTACCACACCGGGACCCCAGCCACTTCCTTTACCTAGCTCTAGTGTGGGAATGAGGAGACGAGGAAGGGAAGAAGGGCAGGGGTGACAGTGGGACTGTGCAATTGGGCAAATCAGCCCCAAGTCTGGTTCCCACTGGAGGCAGAAAGGGGGTCTGAGAGTTATCTTGGCAATAATCTACAGCAAGAACTACTGTAACACTGGTCACCTGGGACCAAATGACACTTTGGACCTCCGTTCCTTGTCCAGCATTTGACACTGAGTCACCAAACTTCAAGATGATAGCAGAAAGCATGTTTGTTGAAGCATTCCTGGTCACCCTTAAAGGCCACTACAACGTCACCAACACGGTGCCACTCCAGCAGATACAAGTGTCCCTGGCCTTAAGCAAACCACTGGTGACACAAGGAGCGTCTACTTGTGGCACTAAGGGAACAGGAAGATTCGGTTGCGGAAACGAGGAAAGAACAAAACTCAAGACTTCCTTTTCTCCAGGGACCTAGGCGAAGACTGTTCCCTTAAGAGGGTCCTCTGGGGTCTGGCACTGTGGCCTAGTGGCTAAAGTCCTCGCCTCGAACTTGCCGGGATCCCATATGGGAGTAGTTTCCAATCCCGGCAGCTCTACTTCCCATCCAGCTTCCTGCCCGTGGCCTGGGAGGGCAATCAAGGACAGCCCACAGTTTTGGGATCCTGTACCCGCATGGGAGACCTGGAGGAGATTCCTGGCTCCTGGCTTTGGATTGGTGCAGGTCTAGCTGCTGTGGTCACTTGCAGAGTGAATCATTGGACGGAAGATCTTCCTCCCTGTTTCTCCTCCTGTCTGTAGATCTGACTTTGTAATAAAAATAAGTCTTAAAAAGAAAAAAGAGGGGTCCTTAGAAATGGTACCCCTGTGGTGTCTATAGGCATGGTGGCCTCTAGAGCGTGAGCAGGCATAAACAGCAGGATGGCTGTGCCACCTCTCCTTGTGAAGAGAGCAGGCCTGAGGTTCTGGGCTGGCCCGTGAAGGGATCTAAGTTGCTGTCACCTCCTACACAGGGAGAGGGCATGGGGAGAGCCCCAGGCACGGGGCAAGCAAGGTGTCTGAAGAGGCATAGACCACACCCCCCAGGCTTCATTCCCCGGTGGCCAGGAGCACCAGAACTCTTCTCTACAACAATTACTCAGGGAACCTGTAAACACTGTCCCTGAAAAAATCAGAAAAAGGCTGTGCTTTCCCGCCAGGCACAGGCAGTAGCACCCTGGTCCAGGAGCCCCCTGGGCAAAGACTTACACCAGAGTTCATAGTAGTAGTTGCAGCACTGAGACTGTCCACAGCAGTGTCCTGTGTCACAGATGTAGCTTTGATTGTTGGTACCCACACAGGCTTCCTTCTCCTAAAACCAAAAAGCACAACAGCAAATGAGACTGCAGCTTCCGTTCTCTCTGCCTGCTCACCTCAATACAGTTTTTAACAGTGTTTATTCCATTAACATGAAAAAGGAGAAAGGGCCAGATGACAGTGGAGTTTAGGGGGGGAAAAATTTGCCTTATTAAAATGGGGAGGGGACTCAGCATAGAAGCGACTGGTAAGGGGCAGACCTGTGCCCACACAGGACAGCAAAGGGCTGCCTCACTTTCTCCATGTCCAAGCAGAAACACATTATGTCTGGAGGCAGGTGGTAGGAAGGTGGCAGGTCTCCTCTAATTAGCAGTACATTTTGAGTAACACTGGCTTTTCTGTGAAATCTTCCGGAATAATTAATGCACTACATATTCCATGATCAGCATATAATCAGGGCCTTCCACTTTTCCCTTCAAAATATTTGATTTCCAAGATTAAGTTACAGTGTGATTCGCCTCCTTTCAAGTTCCACTTCTCAACTGATGATCTCCACAGAATCCTGACTGGATCCTGGATTTGTGCTGTCCCTTATCAGGGACAGCTACACAAAAGACACTGCTGAATGACCAGCTAGCAGTTGCCAAATTCTATTCACAGCAGTGGCAGTTGGATGAAGGTGAACTTGCTTTTTCTTTCTGTATTTCATATTTGCAATACCCCATCAGCCAGGCTTAGCCCTCCGCCTAACATATACTCTGGGCTGGTTCGGCATCCAGGGAAATGTAAGCCATCTGCTCTTTCAAGATTTCTTTATTTTAAAATTAGTGACACATTCATACACAAGGTGTTGTCTCTTTGCCAAACATTGTGTTGGCTACGAGGGATACAAAGATGAATAAGACACTGTCGCTACCTTCAGGAAACACAAAGAGTTCATGCAAAAACCCTGCTCAGCAAAGAGACTTAAACCCCAGTATTGTGTTTGCTACCACTCAGGCTGACCCTGCCCAGAGCGCACATCCGGGCGGATGGCTGCCAGTGGAAAGTTGAGTCACATGGTAGGTTCCTCTCTCCGGGCCTGGCTTTACTACAATGTCTACTTGGCTGAGGGTGTAAACAAAATACTGTCTACAAGCCTAAGGGCTGGGCAGCAAGAGCAAAGGCAACTGAAGCCACGGGGAGAGAGGACAGGAGAAAGGGCATAGATCCCCAGCTTTGTGCAAGTTTCCATCGGATCTGCCGGAGTACTTCTTGGTTTTTCAGTCTTACACCCTGGGACAGAAGAGCTTAGGAGAAGTGGAAAAAAGGCACCTGTAAATAAACTCTAAGGAGGGAAGTCACAAAATTGCATGAAGTCTTTCTGTCTTTACCTTCCCATGCCCATCAAAAGTAAAACAAAACACTGAGCAGGTAGGTGGCTGTGCAGTCACCACCTCCTCTCGTGGCACTCAGAGCAGATTCATGCTGTTTTTGCTAGAATACAACTTTCCATTATTTCAGAGTGCAACACTCCTTTCATAGGAACATCAAAAACTTTCTCCTGAGTCTACCAGACTCTGCAAATGTCATTCTTCTGGCACGAGCTCGTGAGAGTACAGTTCAAAGTGTCCACATAGTTTCTAAAAGAGGCTGTACTGCCCACACCCTGGCCCACAGAAGAATCCAGTGACACCTCTGCCCGCCTCAGGAAAATTCAGCAGATGAGGCCCAGGCTCTGAGGGCAAGGGCAGCCAACTCCCTTAGGAGGCGTGGAATGGAACGTGTTTGAAATCGGAACAAGCGGCACCCTCATGATGGACTGGGGTCAGCTTTTCTCTCGGCTCTTCTGTGCTCTGAGCCAGGAGGACTGGTATGAACAGGACCCCGCCATGCTGAACAGGTTGCCTCCACTTTCCAGGGAAAGAATAATGGTAGCTGCATCACTTCTTCCAGCCTGTTTGAACCCAGTACATCAAACACCCTGTGGCCCTCCCACTCTCCTACAGAGTCCAGCCTGGAACAATCTAGGTCTTAGGAACTGCCATTTTCTGCTACAGGGAGGAGAAGTTGGTTTAGCACAAAAGAAGTGGAGGGCAGTTTGGGGACTGTTGAAATGTAAAAGTTGAGTTCCTCCAGAAAGACCTGCTGGGATGAGAGGTTCTTCCATTACTGAGGAATGGGACTTTGGAAAGGTAAGGCTAGTTAAGACGATCTCCAACACCCCCTCCAACTCTTCAGCTGCATGGTGCTACCTGCTCCCCTATCCCAGCCAGGACACAGCAGCTTCAATAACACAAGATTCATGAAATCTGTACCTCCTCTCATTCAAAGCTAGGAGCAAGCAACAATGGTGTGTAAGAGACTAAATCATGGACCACCCAGAGCACTCTGGAAGACCTCCAAGGCGGCTCAAGACCCGCAGTGCTTCAGTGATTAAGAGTAAGCTGGATTTGGGTTCAAATCCCAGCTCTTACGAGGCTCATTAACTGTGTGACCCTGCATAAATTCATTTTTTCTGAGCTCCTACTACCAACACTGTTTCTGTAAACCATTACTGATGAACATGAAAGCTCATCCCCACAGCACTGATGCCTCCATTTAGAAGTACTTCAGAATAGTAATGGTTAATGTGGCTAATGCACACACATGAAGAACACAAGTGGGAGCAGAAAGAATCCAACAAAAAGTTAAATATGCACCCTTTATGATTACCCTGTGCTTTTCTTCTAGGCACCCTTGAACACACGGCTCATGTTACGTTGTTCAGGCAAAGTACTGCAGAGTGGGCGGTAAGCAGCCTTTCCACGCCCCCCTTTGCTCAGAAAGTGAATCAGAGAACAAATTGTGGTCTCCCTCAAGTTATGGATTCATTTTTTTCTAGCCCTTCCCATGTCTGGTATACAAGCATTTTGCTGCTAGACAATGGCCATGGGACCTGCATGAAGGCAGTGTTACACTCGCGTGTATTGAGCACTTGCTAACTCCCAGGCATCCTAAACACTTTCAAGGGTTCTTAACCGAAACTATAGGGCAATACCATGAAGTACATGGTAACAAGGAACTGAGACCAGCAAGGCTAAGGACTCCAAGGTCACAAAGCTAGGAGGTAGTTCCATCAAGTCTAACTCCAGAACCTGAGTTTTTCACCATAAAGCCACAGCCTTCTGAGGCTAAGTGTAACTTTTCAGCAGCTTAAATAAAAACCCTAAACAAAATCAACAGTAAACCTTGCATGGAAAAGATAAAGACCAGTCCTTGTAGACTCTGGACTTTGGGAACAGCGTCCCTCATCTCTCACTCGGCAGCACGGAGGGCTAACAGGCACGCAGCTCCCACCCTAGCTCAAAAAGTCCCATTCCCACATACTGCTTTTCTGAAGAGTGAAATGGCACTTCATCCCAGGGTGAAACATAGGGGATCCATTGAGTGCCTCACTACACCAAGCAGGGAGCTAGGGTGGGCGACACGGGCAAACAGGTACAGTCGTCACCTCCACCCTCATGGAGTTCACAGTCTAAAGAATGAAACTGTAATGACAGTAAGTTCTAGAAAGGAAGAAGGTGCAATTTCGTGAAGGAGCTAATCAAGAAGGTCAAGTACAGCTTCTGGAAGGAAGGTAAGAAACTGAGATCAGCAGATGGTTAGAAAGTAACCAGAGAACTGAATGGAAAGAACATAGCAGCAAAGCTCTTCAGCTACAAGGAAATGGCTGGAGATGAAGAAACAGGCTGAGAACTAAGCAAACAGAGAGAGGAAGGTGTGTGTGTGTGTAGGGCATGGTGGAACCAGGCTGTGCAGGGAAGTGACAAGACCAGATTTGCATCTTAAAAATATCTCCTTTTTGGCACTGTTTTCATCTGCACAAACTCCATAACTAAACAATACACTACAGCTAAAAAAAAAATCTGGGGCCTGGCGCAATAAGGTAGTGGTTAAAGTCCTTGCATTGAATGAGCTGGGATCCCATATGGGCGCCAGTTCTAATCCTGACAGCCCCACTTCTCATCCAGCTCCCTGCTTGTGGCCTGGGAATACAGTTGAGGATGGCCCAAAGCCTTGGGACCCTGCACCCACGTGGGAGATCCAGAAGAAGCTCCTGGCTCCTCGCTCTTCGGATTGGCTCAGCTCCAGCCATTGCAACCACTTGGGGAGTGAACCATTGGACAGAAGATCTTCCTCTCTGTCTCTCCTCCTCTCTGTATATCCGCCTTTCCAATTAAAAAAAAAAAAATCAGTCCTGTTAGAAAGGAAATTTGGGGGAAAACACGTGGCCCCAAAAAGGCATTAGGATACTTATGTCCCATAAACAGGGGCCTAGTTCAAAATATAACTCTGCCTTTTGATTCCAGCTTCCTGCTTGGGTGCACCTTGGCAGGCGGCAGTAACAGCTCAAGTAATTGGGTTCTGGATATCCATGGGACAGAGTTGGACGAACTTTCTAGCTTCAGGAGTTAGCCCTGGGTACAGGCTCCTACAGGCAGGGGGCAGGGAGACAGGGAGGTGTGTGTGAACAAGCTGATGGAATATTTCCCCAGCCTTCCCTCTACCTCACAACTAAACTAGAGGAAAAATGAATCAGGCACACTCAGCCAGGCCTGTGGCCTCAAGGACAACTGAGGTGATAACTACTAGCACCCTACTAGCAACACACCTTCAGTCCTGACACCACAACAACTGGCTGTGTCAGGACACATGTGGTCACCAAACAAAAAACACAGGCACAAAGAAGACACAACACCCAGAACCATGGGCCCAACACGGTAGCCTAATGGCTAAAGTCCTTGCCTTGAATGCACTGGGATCCCATATGGGCACTGGTTCTATCCCAGTAACTCCACCTCCCATCCAGCTCCCGGCTTGTGGCCTGGGAAAGCAGTCAAGGACGGCCCAAAGCTTTGGGACCCTGCATCCATGTGGGAGACCCGGAAGAAGCTCCTGGCTCCTGGCTTTAGATCAGCTTAGCTCTGACCATTGCAGTCACATGGGGAGTGAATCATCAGACAGAAGATCTTCCTCTCTGTGTTTCCTCCTCTATGTATATCTGACTTTCCAATAAAAATAAATAAAATCTTA